TGACTCAAACCAACTCAAACAGACGCTAAAGCCTACCACTCACACAGTAAAGTGAACCACCCTGACGATTGAGACAAAAGAAAACGATATAATTGACAACACTGTTCAGCTGATGATACACGGGGCAACGTTTTGAGCAATCGTGCAGGGCAACCTTGCCGTCAATGGTAATGAGTAAAGATTACTACCGTAATCTCCTTTCCCCACCACTCCGCCACCCGTCCCGCCCTGCCCCGCCGCTATCCGTTCAAAACATCATCGGACTTGCCACTAGTAAGATTGCCCAGCAACGTTGCTCAAAAAGTTGCCCCGTGTATCATCAGCTTTCCTGTAAAGCTGGGTAGGCCTCTATTCATTATTACATTCATTAAAAAGCAGAACAGTAGGGCTTTATTGTGTTACATTCAGTAGGAAGTTAGCTAGCATTAGCTAACTAACATTACATTAAGAATAATCCACAGCCGACATTTTTCTGGATTTATTTCAGGTTTGGAAAGAGAATAAATCGTACTTCTCCTTTCAACCTCTCTGGGTAGCGACTGTAATTATTACAAGTGCCCCAGGAACAGCGTTTGACCATATCTTAGAAAAATATAGCCAAAAAAAGCCAGAAAACAACTGCTTTTGCATATTAGTCAATGGAGTGTGGCCATGAAAGTGTCGGACCTCAGTTAGAGGGAGTCCTATACTGCGCTGTGATTGGCCAGCTGTGTATTTGAGGCATGGCTTAGAGAAGGGTCAATTGAAAGGGAACGGCCCAGCCACCACTAGGTACACCTTTTCCTGTGTTTGGTGTATTATGCAGCACACTTCAAACAGCTTAACACAGTTAAATGGGTTAGTTACTGAAACTGGTCACAGTTTATCATTTACACAGAGTGAAGTCTAAGAAAAGTTGGAGGCTTTGTTAGTAAGAGTTGCTCATCTCTGAAGTGATGTGAAAGTGAATGATCATGGACATCACTTCCTCCCATGGAATTGGGAGGAAGTGATGTCACTGGCAGACATGCTGGCTGACTCACCTCTCTTCTCAGAAGGGTGAAGTCATGCATCTCTCCCTCATCTCATCCCTGTCTGTTTGTGTAACAGGCTGCCCCCACCCCACCCCCAATTAAGGGTTTATGGTACATGAGAGAGTAGCTCTGCACCAGAGGTCTGACCACAGCTCCGATAAAGCCACTGAATGACTTTTAAAAATGTGTTTCTGTTGTAGCCTGTAAGGACAGAGACGGCCTTTTGATCTCTTTAAAACAGACCGCAGTTACAATATGGGCATTCAGGCCGCCTTTTGTTCTTGTCCCCCCCCCCCCCCCCCTTTTTTTTTTTTTATCTGTCCACGTACTCGCCCTGCCCTCTTTCTCACTATCTCCCCATCACATCATCTAGCTGTGGGCTGCTAGTAACCATGGAAACCAGTTCCAGTATCTTCAACCAAGTCCAGTTGATTTTAACCTTCGTTGGATAACTATGACCTGGATGACTGAGAATCTTCAAAGACATGGAAACCAGCTAGTTTGTTCTCCTTGTGTCAACATTAGTACATATCTTTTCATCCATATTGAAAACTGCATGCTGGTTTGTGGTTTTATTTTCGCCATTTATATGGTGAAGTGGGGGGTCAAGAGAGTGGCAGATACAGCTGTTTAGCTAGGCTTAGTGCAAATATTCATATCAATATGCATCCAGATAAACTTGCTTTGTGGTGTGGCTGTGCTGTTTTGTGCAAATTGTCTAGTGTTGGCTCTATTGTTCTTGCACCATGTGTAAATGACTTGAAAAATATTGAATATGATTCATGTGTACCATGTCATACCCTGGAGCTACATAAATAAACTGCTCCACCGTGTGGTTTGCAAACAACAATGTGCAAAATAGAAAGTGAGGCATAAACCTTACATCAAAGTGACATGTATACTACCATGTTTTATACTACCACACGTTTTCTGTTTCTCATTCTTGTCTTTGTGGTTACAGGCTTTTAAAGTATACTATAATATATGTAAATGACACTTACTGCTGTATGCTAACCTCTGAGAAGCTTCCGGTTTCCTATTCATAGTTTTCACATGACGTTACATTCCAAGGAAAACACTCCGTCGGAAGGCTAAAAAGCCACTGCCCGCCAACCAGGAAGCAAGTGATACACTGTTACTTTGAGTTTGTTACTTTTGCGTTGCCCAAATGCTGGATGGTTGTTGTGCTTTCGGATGCACTAATTGACGACGAGACAAGCCTGGGCTGTGTTAGGTGAGGGATTCCCTTCAAGCTAAAAGTAAACACTACCACAGTCGAGCGCTGGCAGGGACCTGGTGGTTTTTAATGGCGGAAATACAGCAGCGGGGGCTGTATGTGGATCGCAAGTGCCCAACACTTGCAATTTGTGTCCATATCTATATTTTAAGATGGGATCCAAATAAAATATGTACCTTATCAAATCCCTGCTGAGTGATGTGATTCCCTGCCCTTCATGTTCTGCATAGAAATATTTGACAAATGTAGAACCATTGAATGCCCTTCCATAATTTCCTCACTTTCATCTTTTTCATAGTGGCAGTTCAGCGTTTGGTGCGTTGTTGGTTTTGGCAGTCAGGTGGTTTTCCGGCTACTCAATCATCTGAATTGGACCGTATATGGCTGGTGTGACGTCTCATTGTTGAAGCACACCTGCTCATGCACACTCTGACACACCCACACCACATCAAAGCCTCCTCTGTGCCTCAGCTCCCTTCACCTGCTTATTCACTTTCTCAGACATGCTGGCACACTCTGGCTCTGCCCTCTAGTTTTCCAGACTTGCAGCAGGCAGGCTGTCAGAGGAGTAGATAACCTCCTGCTAACCTTGAGCTGTAATAAGGCCTGCTCCTGTTGTCATGGGGATTCAGGTGGGCAGAGGGGGACGAGGGTTTCAGTGCTCAACGCTGACCCAGGGGTCGCAGGGGGCACAGGCTGGGCTGACAGATTGTTCGCCTGCCCCCTTTATTTTGGCACCTCAAAGCCTTGCCTGCCTGACAGCTTGTCTGGCTTTTCCTGGCATTAGTGGTGGGTTTTGCCACGCGCAAACAAAGTAGGGTTGGAATCAAGGAAATATTACTATTGGAGGAAAATAATATTTTTATCAGACATTCATGAATTCAGTGTCTGTTTGCTTTCTTTACATGAGTTTCCTTTCGTTTTAAGTCTGGCATGTCATAGAATAACTGAGTGCATAACCAGAAACATTAAAAGAAATCAAATCCAAAACTGACGCCGATGAAATTAGCCTAATAATAATAAATTATTTTTCACATGAGTTCTTGGGTCATTGCAACTGCAAAGTTCAGATTTTCGTTTAATAAAGGTGTTCCAGCTATTTAATTTACTCACGACAGACATAATATAAAATTTAAAAAAAATGGTCAGATAGGCAAGATATCTTGATGATTAGTTATTATGGACCACAGCCAAAGAAAACATTATGCATCAGTTTTCCCAGACCAAGTAGTTTTAAATTAGCATTTATATTTAATACAGTCTAATCATAGTTGAAACATGCAGAACATAAATTCATGAAGTTCGAGGTCCAATTGTCTCCTGTTGAATATTAGCTTAACCTCGTGCAGCCTGAAAAGTGAGAATCATAGTAGTGGTCAGTCAGCAGTAGTCGGAGTAGGAAGAACCTCTATATGAGCCTGTGTTTGGCAGATTAATGGTTTCTCTTGAATTACTGACTTTGATTGCTGACTATTTAGTTATTGCAGCCCATTGTTTTTTATTGTGATAGTAAGTATGCTTGCTCTACTTCGATGTAACAACATACAGTACAACTCTTCACAAAAATGTTAAAGAGGTGGTATTATGGTTTTTGGCTTTTTCCCTCTCCTTTATTTTGTTATATATCTTTTTTGTGCATGTTACAGGTTTGCAAAGTGAATAATGTTTTATTCGTTTTTGAATAATTAATTAAATTGGACAATAGAATTTTGTATATTTGTGTATTTTGAATCAAAGGATTGCCTTACCCTTCTTTGAATAGAATCACAAGGTTGCATGAACCGTACACTAATTGGAACATTTTGGATTAGAAAGGGGTAGTTTAAAAACTAATTTACTTTTCTGCACCCTCGTGAGCATCTAATTAGTTTGATTATAAAAGTCTGAACTACTGAGACCAACTGACTTGAACCTCATTAATAACTCTTGGTGAATTGAACTGCTGCTGAGGCTGCAGTTGTAAACTAGACAAGCGTGTATGTGTGAGTGTGGATGTTAGCTGTGTGGGTTTCCCTTATGGTAACCCAGGAGAGAAAAACGTGAAGAGTGGCAGCGGCTTCCTTTCGCCTCACTTTCAGCTCTGCCTGTCTAGTCTGTCCTATCTGGACGTCTCTCTTCACGTATTAAAAATAGTAGGACAGTTACACACCTGCTGCTTTGCATGACAAGTAGATGCAACTGGAATAAAATACAAGTATCCAGCAGCTTATTCAATTCACAGGGATTATACTGCTTCTCCATTATTTGTCTCTGTCATTACTTGTTTCTTTCCCTTTTTTATAGATGATGGTGGGATGTACACGGACTCTCATTTTCCCCATATCTATACCATGGGGAATCATCCCTTCCCATTATTTGCCCACAGCATCAACAGCTCATTATAAAAGCCAGACAGATGTGTTCTTGATTTGTGCCAAATGGACGTGTGTGTGTGTGTGTGTGTGCGCGCGCGCGCAGAAGACTGTCCGTGTGGGTATTGTTATAGTTAGTGCAAAATGTTAGACTGCATTCATGCATGCAAAGCATTTTTATTATAGAGCTAGACGCTTGATAACACGGTCTGAATGTGTGAAAAGTATGTCAAATTTGCATCTTTGTCTGACAGGTCTACTAAACATCCTCATTTTCTTTCTTTTGTTTTACAGTGTTGAATGCACCTCCATTATGCACATCGTTTCCAGTGGCACTTTAACAACTATCTTGTCTGCTAATCGGGAGAACTAATTACGGGTCCTCTTTGTCTGTTTCAGAAATCGAGCGATAGCCGATTATCTACGTTCCAATGGATATGAAGAAGCATACTCTACTTTCAAGAAGGAGGCGGAATTAGATAATGTGAGTAGATTAAGGGTGGACACGTACATCCGCACAGCCAATCAGACCAATTTATACAAATAATGTGCCTTGATATTTTTTTTTTTTTTTCTTCTCTACACACACACACACACACACACACACACACACACACACACACACACACACACACACACACACACACACACACACACACACACACACACACTCTTTATTTTTCATTTTAGTCAACATGTTCACGACTGTGACCGGGAGCACCTGCACCCAATTATAGTGGTCTTTCTGATTAGGCGGTCTGTGCTGCATGCTCCTGCTAACTAATGTTGAAAAAAAGCTGTTATCAACTTGTAAAAATTGCCTTTACAATAACACTGTAACATTCTGCTTGCTTTTACATTAATGGTGTGGTTTTGTTGGGTTAGATTATGGATAAAAAAACGCTGTTTTCCCTGTCCTTAAATTTTCAGGTATAATGCCAAAATGCAGCAGCATTCTGTTTTTGCATTTAGCCCCACTTCAAACGGGCCATCTTTTGTCCTTTAGCAGTGTAAAATCCATAAATCCAGTGTTGTTGTTTTCAACCCCTGCACACTAGATTTGAAATGAAACAATGACTGAGGTTTGTATCACAACATTAGCTTTAATTTTCGGTGCTTACATCCACATAAGAGAAAAAGTGTAGTCCTTCAGATATACTCCCCCCACACTTGGGTTCACTCCACTAGGTTGTCGAGGGGGCTTTAGCTATTAATATGATATTTATCATCTGTAACACTTGATCAGTCGGATTTAGGTCAGGTGATTTTAACATAGTTTCCCCCCATTTTAAGACTATCCAGAAAAGTGTCTCCGATTCTGTGGACAACATCAGTCACCTTTAAAGATGGAAGTCCACTCTTAAACATCATATAGCCAGTGTATTATTTCATATATCATGTGTTGTGGTATAGAGCCAAAATGTTAATGAAAATGTGCTGTTGTTTCCAGGCCTGGAAAATCAAATGATAGAGGTGGGAATGTTAAGTATTTTAACAAATTGTGCTCCTAAAATTTGATTCCTGTGAATACAAATAAAGTTCCAGCAGCTACAGTGCCATGGGCAAGCTGTTAACTCACACTCCTGTTTGTAATGGTAATATAGATTCACCATAACCCCCTTTCATCTAAAACTCCATTTTGTCTCACATTTTTTCCCTCTGCCTCTCTGTAGCACCTCTTCTTTCGCCTTGTGTTCACGTGACACCCCACCCCCTTCTCCTCAGTGTCTTTATACAGTCGTCTTCCAGACGTTTTCTCTGTGGCAGCCCTGTGGAAGCAGGCTAAATAATAGATGAATGGCACGGAGGTATAGGTGAACCCTGTTGGGTATTAACGCTCAGCTGGACACACACACCTTGGCAGCACCATGCTAAACAACCAAATCAGGCCACATTATTAGACATTCACTACAAAGGTGATGTATGTTGAATGTGGTTAGGTTTAGTTCAGAGTGAATTTAATGTTCTTTACTGTGGCCCTTTGTGGCTACTTGAGTAGCAGGTTAAAGCTGTGTGCAGCCGTTTGCAATAGCAGGTTTCATAGTAGGAATAATTAATAAGGGTCAAGCTTTAGGGTTTTTTATTTGCCTCGTAAAAGAAAATGTGCCTACCTGCATGCACACACAAAGCAAATACACACATGCATGGTTACTACTCACTGTCAAGAAGAGACTGGCAGGCTGCAGTGAAGTCTGGCACGTGTGTGTGTGTGTGTGTGGCAGATGGCAGATTAGATGATGGCAGACGTATCCAAACTGCTCTCATTTCTATGTTTTCTTTCTCCTCCATTTTGCTCCATTGCCTCAGTTCATGTCTTGTCATTGAGAAGTGTTAAATGTAGGCGTTGGTGGTGTCTGCAACTATCCACAGCTCTAGGATATCTGCTTTTGTTTCCAGCGGATGCTGAGGAGCCAGCTGTGAAATTGGAGGGCAACACTAATTTTCTCCCTCACTGATGCTTGTGGCTGTCTGTCAAAGTGGGTTTTTGATGCTTTGGTAGTTAGTAAAAGCCTCAAGGCAGCGAAATACACAGAGCGGCGGCACTAATTGGGTGTATAGAATAAGACTAAACAAAGCTTCACTATATATATATCTATCTCTATATATAGATATAGATAGAGAGAGAGATATATATAGATAGATAGATAGATAGATAGATAGATAGATAGATAGATAGATCGATCGAAGTCCTGAACATTTTAAAATGTTATGTCAGTATAGACATTTTGACCATTAACAACTCAGTCAGCATTTGAGACATTCATGAGAATTAGCTAATTAGAATCTTTGGGTTTATTTAGAGCAGAAACAATCACTTGATTGACAGAACATTAATCCATTCTTACAATTGTCGTTTTAAATATTCTTCCAAACAAAACAATCCTTAGTTGGACCATTAGTTGCTGGAAAAAGCAAGTATTTTGAAGACCTCCCCTTAGGCTCTGGTGACATGGTAATGGGCATTTGTCACTATTTTCTAACATTTTGTAGACCAAACCGTTGGTCAATTCATCTAGAAAATAACTGCCAGGTTAATTAATTAGCTGCAGCCACAGTTTTATTTGTTTTAGTTTGCATGTGGCAAAGAGAAAACATGCCACCATATTGTTTTGTTTTCCTTTTGGCAGTATAAAGTGGCATGTTTGTGCCATGAAATCCGTTATTTAAAAGGTAGTGGCCAGCTCGTGGAGATAGAATCAGACTTTTGGCTGCCAGGACTGCCACAAGTTAACTTCCACGACTGCCTCCAGTACCGGGTGTGTGGCTGTAAGGTGCCTAAGCTTTTCTTGTCTGCAGGAGATTAGCTTGTGTGAGAAGGATTAGGACTAGAGTGTGTGTGTTTTATGTGTGTGTAGTATGTATTTTGTGTGTGTTATACAGTAGGTTGGCGGTGTCTGGCAGTCGGTGTTGGCCTGTGGGGGCTGTGTAAATAATTCCCTGTTCTTTCTTACTATAGCCAAAGACCTCAGCATGCCACCCCAGCTGGCCCCCCTCCCACAGGCCTCACCGATTATGCGGAGCCCATGACTTTGATTGGCTTTCTTTGCATGTTTGCCTGACATCTTTTTCCCCCCCTGCCCCTCCTTTCTCCACAGAATGAAGAATTGGATAAGAAGTACGCCGGCCTTTTGGAAAAAAAATGGACCTCAGTCATCAGATTACAAAAGAAGGTTTGTGTGTTTTTAGTTTTTTATGAAAGAATGCTTTCGGGGATTGTAGTCTTGTGAATGGGTCGTGACATTACCTCTGAATCCACAGTTAACACTGAGGAAACATTAATCCAGCTGTTAATACATAATCATTTGTTTACAAGACTTCAGCAAACTTAACATGCCTGTGTTTTATGATGTAATGATCTAAACGTGCATATTTCCACCTACTTTGCTTTCTGCCTCTACGCTGTTAACTTGTACCTGTACACTCTGGCCAGGTGATGGAACTTGAATCCAAACTGAATGAAGCTAAGGAGGAGATCACCCTGGGTGGGCCCGTAAGTCAGAAGCGCGACCCCAAAGAGTGGATCCCACGTCCACCAGAGAGGTACGCGCTAAGTGGCCACCGCAGTCCAGTCACCCGCGTCATCTTCCACCCAGTCTTTAGTGTCATGGTGTCTGCTTCTGAGGACGCAACAATAAAGGTCAGTGAATCCGGAGGGTGGTTTGACAATGGATTTGTTGCAGGGCTTGCCTTCAAATAGGCCTGTGGAAGTAATGTTCTTTTTTTGTAATTGTTATTATTGTAATTGGCATTTCAACAGTTTCTATGGTTTATAAACTGTGATTTCACTGATTGTCTGTACTTTACTGTTGTCTCTAATGTACTTTATCTGACATCTTGGGTTTGTAGGATATTATTCACTGTGGGCATGTAATTGCTCAAGAAACATCATAATAAACAGATAAAATTGGGTTTGACAATGATTAGGGAATAAGGATACAATTGTTATTTTTGCTTTAGCCTAATCATAATTCAGTGAAATAATGTCAGTATTGATGTCAAACTGAGGTACCAGATGCTGTCGTGTGTCGCAGAGCTGGGTTTACAGTGAGGTTATTCATTAAGCAACATTTTAACTAGTGAGAATATGCGTGTTGATGGTAAGTCTCTGAAACATCTGGCTGACATCTGGTTTGATGGAGGCGTAGATGGGTTGTCGAAACATTTAGCAGGCAAACTGACTTAAGTATCCAACGAAGGTTAAAATCAAGGGCAACTGGACTTGGTTGAAGATACTGGAAGACGTTTCGTCCCTCATCCAAAGGACTTCTTCAGTTCTGACTGACTGGCAGGGAAACTCAGCTATTTAACCTCAGTGGGGTCGTTGGCCCGGGTCATCGATACCGCTGTTTCGTTAGTGTTCCTTGTTGCTGTGATGACAGTCGTTATAGTCGTTAAGACTACCTGTGGCCAAGACTGAACGACCATCGTTGGTATCTTCACCTGAGACCAATAGGTTACGTTTGTTGAGTTTCCTTTCATCACTTCCCAGGAAACTCAACAAACGTAACCTATTGGCCTCAGGTGAAGATACCAACGATGGTCGTTCAGTCTTGGCCACAGGTAGTCGTAACGACTGTCGTTAAGTATCTTCAACCAAGTCCAGTTGCCCTTGATTTTAACCTTCGTTGGATAACTATGACCTGGATGACTGAGAATCTTCATAGACAACTGACTTAAGTGCATTTCTTTCAGTTTCGCTTCATCTGCCTGATCAACTGATAATAAATATTTTCCTTGAATCTCCATTTTCCAGAGGAAAGAGGACAAACGGACCTCCTTCTCCCTCTCTTTTGTCACACCGAAGTAAAACAATTTTTATTCTTCTCCATTAAATCAATGGGTGCTGCCTTTTCTTTCAGGGAATGTAAACAAAACTCAGCTGTGCTGAATGTCCAGTTATTACTGTAGAAACTATAAATAGAAAGATCTGTCACCCCACACGATCAGTGTATAAATTGAGATTAGTTTACAACATGTACAGTAAGTAGTCACACAAGAGAAGGTGTTGTACAGTTTATCTTGAGTGTTAACAATCGTAACATCCTGTATTAAAAAAGATATAAAGCTATAAATACAAAATATCGCCTAATATTGGCTGAGAAAAGGCCATTTTTGTGCTTACAGTCAGCTCAGATTTTTTTCTGCAAGCCATTATTTATCATACCCAGCTAGCACAGCTGTGGCTCTGTATGGTTAATATTTGACTATGCTAATGGTTTCATTGAAGATGTTTGTACTAAAGCAGGCATTTATTCTCGTGATAAATGTTCACACATAATACTCCATGTACAGTGTGGTTACAAAGACAAAAATACATCAAAGACTTATCTTTGTCTGATTTTTGGAGCTTCCTCTGTTCATCTTTGGATATTGCTATGTGAGAATGAAAACATACAGGGTGTAGTTCAAGGTGATAAAAACACATCAGCTGGCTTTAGAGACAGACTGTAGTGTCCTTTTTGTTTATTGGTTTGATTTCACATGTTTTCCCCACATGAAAATAATAGGATTCATGTTTAAAATCAACAGAGTGGTCTTTTTTTTTTATTTAGTGCCAGCTCAGTGGCAGCTCTACCACACATAGCTTTTGCTCACTCTGTTGAAGGCTGCTGCTGCTCCTCCTCCTCAGTATTGCCTCTACTTTTCTCCTTCCTAGACACACCCTGGATTGCACAGGTTTGTGTCTTTGTCGTCTGTGTATCCCTAGATTCCATATTTAAACTACATGGTTTGTCTCTCAGCTTTTTTGCAGCAGCAGCAGCAGCACCTCTCCCTTGCCTCACTGCACAATGCCAATACTCTGTTGAGCTGTTTGTTCTGCATATATTATTCATGAGATAATAAGAGACACGTGTACATCTTCTCAGCTACACAGCAGGAATTTCTCTCTCAGATTTGGCATCTTCTTCCTTTCCCAACCCCACCCCTCCCTCCCACTGCAACCCCACCTCCCTGTATCCTGCCTCATTTATCTTCCACTTAAAGCATCAGCTGCCCCACCATGACTACCCACCATCAGAGCCATCCATGCCTCAGGAGGAGGCGGGCCTAGGCCCAAGTCTAATATTCAGCCCTGCTTTCTTGCACCTCCTTTTCCTTTTGGCTGCCTCAGCTCCGTGTGGCTAGAGCTGACTCCCCCTGTGTCCTACTTTTCTCCTCCTGAACAGCCCTGTTAAATTTTTAACTGGGTAGCAGACCATTACACTCTCTCACTGACTGAGAGGCTCATCAGCTTTCCATCTTATGCCATAAGAATCTGCCTAGCCTGATAATCAGACTGAACTGCCATTTCATTCAGCCTGACGTTGTGCTCATGTTAGCCTATTAATTGTTCGGAAGAGGGGTGGTTTTGTTTTGCCCAAACTAGTCAGTAGCGAGTGATGTATCCATCTCGCCATTATAATTTTTCTGACAACACAGAAGCTGCAGTAGTGGTTATCGGAGCAGTTTAGATCAATAATACAACAAGTCTGTCAACATAAAATTCATTACCAGGTTGTCACTAGGTTTTGTTTTTGTTTTTTTTATTCCTCGTTTGTGTGATAGTTCATTTAGTATATTGGAAGTTTTAAATGGTTAGTTGGATAACACAAGTAATTTTATTTTTTCAGTTTTTAGATATTCATTTGGGTGTTTAATCAGTCAATCATGAACATAATTGTCATCAATCTCTTCAGAAAGTGATCAACGTTTGCAGTAGGGATGAAACGATTACCGGTTTAACGGTAAACCATGGTAAAATTCACGACTGTTATTATTACCATACACATTTTAATTACCATGATAACCGGGTACAGTTAACATCGCTATTATAATCTCACGGCAAACACTGTCCAGTGTCTCCCAGAAACGTGCGCATAATGCAACATGGGTTTGTCTGGGTCAATGACAACACGGCAGAGATTTTCCAGTCACTCTGAAGTCTGGTCGTATTAGTTTTTATGAGAGTTCTGAGGGAAACTTGATTGAAGAAAATTACCTTATAGTGAACGCAGGTGAGTTAACTTTTAGCTTTGGTTTGAATCTCTGACTTGCTAACTGCGTGTAAACTGAAGCTCTGTGTTGCTGCTCTTGTAAAAACGCCACACGTTGTTCTGTTGCTGTGTGCGTCATGTGTCGGCAGTGTATTTGTCCACTGCACATGATAACACGTTACGCAGTTTAGTCAACCAACCAGCATATCTAGAAATGCTACAGACTCCTGTATTTATGTCAGTTGTTGGCCTCATTGCAGTTATTATCACGCCTTCTAAAACTTACTTGTTTTCATGTAATTGTCCACAGGGTCATTGTATTACCTATATAATATAAAATCTTGATAATGCACACTGATGATTTTCATGTTTACAAAAGGTATTTGCTGTTTTATTTTTTATGCAAAAAATGGCAATTGTATTTGTAGTTTTCAATATAAAACTTGTTGAAATGTGTGTATCAGTACATTTTAATAGTTTTTTGGCACATTTTTACAATACCGTGATAAAACTGATAACCGTGATAATTTTGGTCACTATAATCATGATATGAAATTTTCATACCGTTGGATCCCTAGTTTGCAGCTCTGGAGCAGTTAATTTAAAGCAGTAGACCCGACATTTTGGGAAATATACAACCTGTAGAGCTGCCCCCTTATTCAGTGAATCCTCCTGCTGTTTCTCTTCTCCATCAGCGTGTAGGGTGTTAAGTAACAGGTGGTTTTGTTTTCTATAGTTGAATCATTCTCCTTTTCTTTACTTAATCATTCCTTTTGTTTGTGACATCCCTCACTCATTTTTCTCTCATTCTCTATCCTCTGCCAACACGACAGATCTTTGCATGACAAGATGTTACCTTGAGTTTAGTGCTAACCTTTCACAGTATGCTATGCCCAGGACCCAGTATGGCTGTGCTCGCTCAGACATGTCAACCAACGGCTATGATAATTTAAACAAGGACAAAGAGCTTGGGTGTGAGCTTACTCATCAGTTACTTTATAAAGGGCGCATACAAAGAAGGATTTTGTATTATAAATGGCCTTTGAATGACAAAGATGTAAGGCATTTTCCTGAAAGAATGTAAACTATTAATCATCATGAAACAGGGCAGTTTTTGGCAGCTGCTTTAATAATGTCCCGAAGGAGTGTGTGTAGGAATCATTGGTGACACAGCAGCATTAAGGTTCAGGTAGCTTATGGATTAAGGATGATTTAGATGCTGCAAAATACTTTGTGTGTAGACTGTTAAACCTGGTGTACCTCCAAACACATTAACTGCATTGATCTTCTCCTGGATAAACCCCCCTCTGCACTTTGTACCTCGCAGCCATCTGCACTGTCTGTAGCTTCCTTTTTTTGGGGGGGTGGGAGGGGGAGTCTCCTGTCACCGTCTGCCCAAATCCCCCTCCCCAACCAAGGAGGGTTTATCCCTCTGTGATAAACCGTCTGTCTGCTTGAATACCAGAGATGTAACAGCTTTCTCGGGCTAGAAAATCAGGCTTACTGCTGTTCACTCCATATTCTGTCTGTACTCCAACTGGCAGTGCCATATTCAGCACAATAAACTCTATCTCTGTTTTTATCAGGCCTAACTGTAACCCTAATCAGCATCTTGGCACATGCATCCCAGCCATTAGAAGCAGTAGCATTAGTAACAGTAATGGGTCACAGATTCTGTAATTCAGTACACAGTGTGTGGTGTCTGCAAACCACGACCTGTGTGAGCTCTTAAGACGAATGTCATCGCAGTACTGTGATTTTTAATCGCCCTGCATTCAGTATATAATATGACTTCTACAGTCTGACTTGTACAGGTTGGTTCTCTCTTCTTGGTTTGTTTTTGCTGCTGAACTGTTAAGTAGAGAAACAAGAGGACATGGGCTTTACTTGTGTTTGGAAAGGGATTGAGTTTGAAAGGAACTGCATAGGTGTGTTTCTCTGTGGTTTATTAGCTGTGCCTGTGCAATATGTAGGTTTTTCTGAAACGAACATATGAATGTCTTCTCTTCTGCAGGTGTGGGACTACGAGACGGGAGACTTTGAGCGCACACTGAAGGGTCACACAGATTCGGTGCAGGACATCTCTTTTGACCTGACCGGCAAACTGCTAGCATCCTGCTCTGCAGACATGACTATCAAGCTGTGGGATTTCCAAGGCTTTGAGTGCATCAGGACCATGCATGGTAAGCAGATCAAATGTGTATGATCACTTTTGTTTTGGCAAGAAAGGAAAAAACCCTGAAGTATGAGCTGGTATTTGCAGCTATGCATCACAGCCGCTGTCATTTGTGTTATCTGTGTGAACGTGCTCTGTTGTGGTTTCCACGTCATTGCATCATGAATGTAGCTTGTGACCGTACGCAGGGCTCAGGTGGTGCAGATGCTGTTCGTTATCACATTAGATTCCACTGATGAGCCTCAATCTGCTCGGTCACAGCACCCTACCCTGAGATTCACAACTAGCTCAGACAAATGGGCTGTTTTAGCCATCTTGTCTCTTTTAGTACCCACCATGCTCCGCACCACAGTATACCACTACTACAACACTTGGATCCAACTCCTTATAATGTAATCATTTACAGTCAAATCAGACTTTATTTCACGCAAAATTTCAATTATTGAAATAATAAAATAACTGGTTCAGTGTTTTTAATAAGTCTGTCTACATTTTTTTTACTTTAACTGAGAATCTACTATGTCATATTTCATATCTTAACTGAAGCACTTCTTACATACATCCGTACAGCCCTTTTTTACACCCTTATTGCCAAGTAAATGATGGCAGCATGATCTACATGTGCCCTCAGGCCCTGCTGATGTTTCGAACCAGCCTTCGGATGGATAAATAAAAAACAAAACTTGTTGAAACTGTGAGAAGGCCCCTCATCAACCAGCCAGCAGCAGCCAAAACAATATGAAGTCTTTCAGCATTTTCACATTTTGTTCTCCTCCTCACAAGTCTGCAAGAAGTGCCATTTAATGTCTTTCTGTAAAGCATACATGAATGAATATCAATGAAATAAATAAGCCTACTTAATGAACAGCCGAGTAGCGCTCTGGCATCCTTCAATTTATGCTGGAGTTGTAAATCCTGCATTCTGTGCAAGTGAGCAACAGATTTCAGTGGTTGCCAATCTCCTTTGTCGTAAAAGAGGGTGTGAACTCCTGGCACGCTTCCTCAAACAGATGAGCTGTGTTCACACTGTGTAGGAAAACGTTTTAAGTGCAGAAATCACCGTCTAAAACAGTCTATTAAACCGAGCCCGCTGTCTGGTTTTGTTGCACACCATTTCCTCTCCGTCCTTTTTTTTTTTTTTTTTTTTTTTTTTACTCTCCATTGACATTTAATTCATCTACTCAACCTCTCCTCCTTTTTTCACATCTTAAAAAAAAAACTTGTGAAGTAGATTAGTGCCGATTTGGGACAACAGTTTAATTATCCTCTTCAGCAGATAGCACTTTTCTGTGTAGCTGCCACCCATTATTGTAGCCTGATGGCATGTGTATGCGCACACACACACACACACACACACACACACACACACACACACACACAAGCTGGCCTTTTAGAGTACTCTTACTGTTGTCTTCATCTGTTTAGAAGCTTAAATATGGCCCAGCGTCTAGGTAATCGGGCATCTCTTATTCTCCGTGGAACAAAGTAAGCCCCAGCAAATTGGCTGCCTCGCTTGTCATTTAATTGGCTAATTACAACCAGACCTGTCGTTTTTTGGCGCGGTTGGTGGCATAAAACATGCTGTATAAAAATATTGCAGAATTTTGAGTATGATTTGTTTGTTGTAAAGTAAAGACGGACAGATTAAACGGATCGTGTGTTGTCACTGAAATGATTAGATTGTATTTTACACTAGCTTCAAATGCTGTGTTGCTCAGAAACATTATATTGGTTTCTGGCTCTTACTGAAATATTGTTTTTGTCCTTTGTGTTTTCCAGGACATGACCACAATGTGTCGTCTGTAAACATCATGCCCAATGGAGATCACATCGTTTCTGCCTCAAGGGACAAAACCATAAAAATGTGGGAGGTGGCCACTGGGTACGCACCCTCCACAGACATCCTCAAAACCACTTTATTTATTTTAACATGATATTCTGTTTAATCACATCCATTCTGCCAACATGACTACTCTTTTTACTTTTTTCTGTGCATTAGCTACTGTGTGAAGACCTTCACAGGCCACAGGGAGTGGGTCCGTATGGTGCGGCCCAACCAGGACGGCACACTGATTGCCAGCTGCTCCAACGATCAGACGGTGCGTGTGTGGGTCGTGGCGTCCAAAGAGTGCAAGGCTGAGCTGCGGGAGCATGAACATGTGGTGGAATGCATCTCCTGGGCACCAGAGAGTGCCTACCCCACCATCCAGGATGCCACAGGCTCTGAGGTAACGGACCGCTCCGACCTCTTCCTGTTTCCTCCAAAACATCTTCAAACCTTGAGGGTTTGGGGGGTATTCCGAGCCGAATCTCATGAGATCCGCGTGTCTTTTTGTTACACCAACTATATTTAAGATCGGCCATACACTTTTACACATTACATAGGCTAAATTATAAGCAAGAGTAGATTTACACTTGTTACACTTACACTTCTCACATGTCCAGTGTGATTAATGAGTGCACAGCGGAGCAGACGGTGGACTAGGGCTAAACGATTAAGGAAAAAAATCCAGTGTGATTATTATTATTTTTTTTTTTATGCCAGATATTGTGATTTACGTTTCGATTTATTTTTTTTTCATTGAAGTTTTGCTAAAGCTCAGTATTCACTGGCAGTCTATTTTAGATTGAAGTCGCGTCAAGCAGTACCAGGCAGGTGACGCAGGCAGGAAGTCGGAGAACAGAACGGCATTGAGAATCCGGTGGATTTTCTAAATAAAACACCCTTTGCAGACTCCCGATCGTACATCAACAATAAACGCAGACCAAAAAAAAGACACAATTTAACTATGTAGTCTACAGAGAGCAGAACGGTACGGACTCACAGAGAGCTGTTAGCGGTAGTTGAAGCACACAAAATGACAAATTAACAACTTGTAGGCTTAACGCTCTGCTGCGGAAACACTTGTTGAGTAGACGCCGTACTATATGCCTGTGTCTGTTCGGCTTTCCTCCAGTTTTGTTTGTTGTAAAATGTACATCCCCTGTGCCCGCTCTGATTGAATACAACGGAATGAATGTGTATAATTAACCTACATTTTAATCGCTGTCTTCACGATTAGCTAATCGGGTTCTTCCAAATCGCTATTTCTATTTGAAAACAAATAATTGTTCAGCCCTATAGTGGACCAGTAGCAATTTAAGTATGCTAAATGGTCGTCGCTGGTGAAAAATAGTTGGGACTAGAAACATATTTTCCAGATGCTGGCCCAAATGAGACAATGGCTTACTGGTCAACTGACTGAGCAAACAGACTGTCGTTATTGCAACCATCACACACAATGCATGGGGATGGAGCTCATGTGCATCCTTGAGTGAAAGCAGAGCTAACAGGTAAACTTAGGGTTATGTACCAAAGCAAGGTTTGATGAGATGTTTATTCAGTGATAAATCTTTCAGATGATGAAGAATGTGTTTCCTTCTCTACATGCACGGCCATGTAAGTGAGCCTCGTATGTCACAGCTCAGACTCACAGCCATGTGAACAGACCAGTTTAAATGGTTTGTGTGTATACACAAAAGGGGATTTAAGCATGGCCTAGAGTCAGCCCAGGCTTGTGCCTTGTGATCTCAAGTGTGTCCAATTGTAGCCTTGTCAGATTAAATCACTTTTTGCCCCCGCAGCCGTCGTCCCAGTCTAAGCTGTGTTGTTAAAAAACAGTGTTAAAGTTGCACAGAAACAAATTTTTGTTTAGTGAAACATGCACTTAAGTTACATAATACATTCACACAGATTTTTGCATATGTGCTCTCAAAGTAGTTGTTCGCAACGCAACATTCAGTCGCCCTGAGGTATTTTATTTGGCATGTTCTCCTGCACTAGAGGTTTTGGTACAGCGATTGCCTGACTTCTGTCTTGTGTGTGTGTTTTGTTTTTTTTTACTCAAACTTTATGAAAGGCACTGTAACATTACAAGACCAACAACTCTACAGGAAGTGTCAGGATGCACAAAAACAAATGCAAATGGTAACCAACACAGAAACGGAAAAAGTAAATAAATTAGATATAATTTAAACACGTTAATGGGCAAAATCGTAACCATTCAAATTTAAATCAATGGATGCTTGCCCAAGAGACACAGCAATTTTATCGAATTAACAATTTCACAATTGCCTCCGATTTCTGCTTAGGTCTTAGACCAAAACATTTTAACAAACCAAAGCAGTGAAATGCAACTTCACTGATTCTGTGGTTATTCCTTCGATGCGCCTGCAAGCCTGTTTGAACACAGTGTCTTCTGATGCAGTTAAAACTATTAGGCATGCATGATTGTTCGCTCTAGTGTGCTTGACACAACGTTTAAGCACCTATTTTATTTTTGTGTTAACCGTACTTGGTGGTAAATTTAGCAGGTATTGAATTTATTTAAGCCAATCTCTTTCCCCACGGTGACAGATGATGAGTGTATTTACAGTGTGCTTTATTTTCCTTTTATTATAGTGAAACAGGAATTGATCCAAGGCCACAGTACTGTTCCTTAAATAAGTAGTAGCTAAAATAATTTGTAGTATTTGACCTTTGATTCTACTTGAAAATATTTTAGGGTGACGATTTTGAGGCTGAAAGGCTTCTGTGTAATATCATCTGTTGTGTGCTTGAGCGTAAACATGCTGTATTAGTTTTGAACCATTATTAAATTTTTTCCCTCTTTGTGCCCAAGCAGTCCAAGAAGAGTGGTAAGCCAGGCCCCTTCCTGCTGTCTGGCTCCAGAGACAAAACCATCAAGATGTGGGATGTTAGCATTGGCATGTGCCTTATGACACTGGTGAGGACTATCTGAGGCTAGCAGCCTTTAAGTAAACATTTTTATACTTTGTATGCATATTCAGATATTTGGGTAAAGAGTGAAAACATTTTGCTTCATAAGTGAGATAAATCTGTTTGCAACTGGTGTCTGTTTGTCCGACAGGTTGGCCATGACAACTGGGTGCGTGGTATCCTCTTCCACCCTGGAGGCAAATTTATTGTGACCTGTGCAGATGATAAGACCTTAAGGATCTGGGACTACAAGAACAAGCGCTGCATGAAAACCCTCGGTGCCCACGAACACTTTGTAACCTCCCTTGGTAAGCAGCACCTCACCCCTGCCCAAAGAAAAGCTTCATCCTTGTTATTTTCTGAGCAGTTAGTCTCCTGAGGTGAGGTATTCCATGCTCAACGGACAGTGGAGCTGGTTTCACAAATATCTGCTTTAGCCAAAGGTTGAATAATTGTAAAGAAGCCCAGTTTCTCCCCGACAGTGTGTTGAGCGTCCTGAGGGTTGCTGGCAGCTGGGGTTTAAGAGGTAGATGAGCGCTCCAGGATTTTACCGCCTCCCCCTCCTTGTATCTGCAGCTTTTCAGCAGATCAAGGCCAGGGAACTCTCTTGAGGGGCTCTTCAGCCAACTTTTCCTTGGCAAGCCGTGTGAAACCCAGTCCTCTTAAATCCTGCTTCAACTAAAGAGGATATTGCTTTGAGCTATTGATGTGATGAATTTTGAAGCGGTGTGGAAAAGACAAAGCAACTTTTGTTTGACATCATTGGGAGGAGGGAAAGTATTACCCCCCCATTTTCTACAAAGTATTGTCCTGTCTGTACGTGCAGTACAATACCGAGTGCTTTCCCCCAAATGTGTTTGCATTCTGCTTTTCAGGCTTCATGACCAATTCACTTTATTTCTTATTCTGACACCATTTTCATGTTAGTTTCTATTTGGTAGGGAGATTATTTTGTTTGGTTTTTCTTTAACCAATCAGTAGCTACTGGTGTATCAGTGCCGCCGACATCATTCTTAATTGACAGAAGCCGCAGAAGCTATTTCATGGTGATCAGGGTTTATGCAGGTTTAAGCGTTGCTATTTAAATAAGTAAAGTATGATGGCAACGGTAGAGAGGGGACGTGAAATTAAGTAAGAAAGAGGAGGGACGATGGACCAGGAATGGAGCAAGGAATCGTTCAATTACATTGTCAGCGTCTTGGCCAACAAGACCTGTATGCAGCGATCTCATCCATGTTCCTTATTTTTACTAATGTTTCTGGCTGTGGCACAGGAAGATGACGTTCCCATTCTTAATCCTCCCTACACAGCTTTGATGAGGTAAATTTATCCGACCGGCAGAAACGTCTGTCAATAAACACTGTTTGAATTGCTGGAAAAAAATCTGTGATGTGAAAAGTATCCTTGTTTCAGACTGCTGAATCACTGCTCACATCAGCTTGATGGCATCACTCGATAACAGCTGTGTTTCTCACACTAAAAAGTAAAGAAGTATAGTTTTGGCTGCCTGTTTATATTTTAACAGTAGCAGAGGGTTCATAAGTTCAGTTTGCTCCAAATCCTCAGGCATGTCACAAGGTAAACAGCACATGTATACAGAATGATGTTGAGGTGTGATAGTCAATTCGGCTGTACAGTGCTGTGTTCCTCGCAGCCCAAACAGACAAATGTATCTGAATCTACTGTTGTGGTGCTCTCGCTCTGCGTTACATTATTGAAAGGGGAAACTCTGAAAAATGTGTGAATTAGTCGTGTTGCATTAATTCTCCATTTTCTCTCCTTTTTCTTTGTTCTGATGAACTTTTGTTTCTTCCGCAGATTTCCACAAGGCTGCTCCTTATGTGGTCACTGGGAGTGTAGATCAAACAGTAAAAGTGTGGGAGTGCCGCTGATTTGGACCTTGGAGGATTGGACCACCACCCCAATTACCCAGGCGCTCCTCTGGACCCCCATCCCCCTCCCTCATCCCACCTCCCCTCCCCTCCCCTCACCTAACCTAAACCTCACCCGATCATCATCATGTCCTCCTCCGGCTGCACTTACCACCATGGTTATTTACCCCTTGCGCTCTCTGGTCCAATAACTATTGTCCTTCTATGTAAATTATTCCTGGATGTAGATCGAGCTATTAAATGTTACACAAAAAAAGTATTCTTGCATGGTAATCCAAAATTGTATACTGTAAATTTACATAACGTCTAGAAGTACCATAGGTTTACCACGGGGCTGGCCGTCTGTCACGCAGCCTTACCGACCAACCGAAGACAGATGTTTTTGACTGGGTGTAAAATGTAGGGCACTAAAAACCGATAATTTAAGAAATGACAGTGTCTTTATGTGTAAGATTTATTTTTGTCTATTTTTTTATTTAGGATTTTTTTTTTTTTCCTGTTCTGTTATTTCTCTCCTTCACTGTCGTAGTCTGTTGGTGCCTAGCTTGGTGAAACTTTCGAGAGATAAGGCAGGAAAAGCATATAAGATGCGATTGTCTGTGGGGCTTTGTTATTGAAATAATCTGTAGCTTTATAACATCACTTCTCAAGTGTGCATACCATTTCTCTTCATGTGGAACTAGGTAATATTTTAATGGCTGTATATACGAATGTTTCAAATTGTTGTCCTTGGACCTCGGGGGCTTACAAACAGCTTTGTACTCTTGTCGTGGTGGCACATGAACCGCTGCTAGGCTTTAGATAAATTATCCCATTTAATTCATCAGCAGAGAAGAATAAAACGTTTAAATGTGGCCAAATGAATAACTGTAAAGTTTTTCACAAGAAGCCCAAACGTAGAGCGCACGTTTGTTTTGGCTTTTGCTGTCAGTGAGCGCCTTGGGTATCACCTGAGCAGAGTTCAGGGATTACACCCGTTTAATCTCTAACACTTGACCTTAGACGATTTCCTGTGACCCTGCATGTCAGACTTTTGTTAAACTGAAGCCTTTGTCCACTTGTAATCCCCCTGACCAGTCAGTCCATGGCAGGGTTTCGTGTACCATAGGAATTATGTAAAGTGAGAAGATGCTCAGTTGTCCCATGGCACCTCTGAAGTCTGTAAACACAACCCGCTGAAGAGAAAACATAAAGGCGTGATGAGGAGTCAAAGTGAGCCCCCTGGGTTTGATATCTGGGATGTGCAAAGATCTCAAATTTTTGAGGGGTGAAATATGTTCTGCTTAGTAAAAATGGTTTTGAGTAAAAAAAAAATAAATAAAAAAAATCAGTTTTCTGTGAAAATATGAAATGTAAATTTAGCTTGTTAAGAGATTTGGCAATTTTGTATTATCGCACTAAAGGATGAACTGGATGGGAATTTAGGATTAGTGAGGAAATGCTAGCAGCAGACAAGTGATCTGTTGATGCTGTTTTGTCTGTAGACAGGTCCGTTGCTGAGCTTGAAAAGAGCTCCCTGCTTTAAAAAGAGGCAGTGGCACCTCCTTAATCACACATGAAGGACAATGCTGAAGCCTGAGCAGCGACGACCTCTACAAACAAACCCCACAGACCACGTCCCACGTATGCAAACGTCTTCTGAGTGGCTTTCCTCAAATGTTCAGCCTTTTGAGCTTTGAGCGGAGCCTGTAACTGTAAAGCAGGAACATTTTTGGAAAAAAATGGAAAATACCTGTAAACCAGTCCATGCTGTAGAAACAAACCATTCCACTCCCCTTGGAGGACAAATGAAACATCTTGCTTCTAACGGTAGCTGACAAGGTGGTTCATTAATCTTGCACATCCCTGTTTTCACTAATTCTTTGGTCCTTTAATGATGATCAAAGACAACATTACAGTTTAATGATGTTGATAAATGCATAAACCTATAATTTCTGATTAGCCTTTTCATTCCAATGCAGTTCTTGGCTAATAAAGAATTCCACTGCTTAACAGATCTCCTCATCTTCGCTTCTTTGCCACATTTTCCTCCTCCTGTGTGTACTGGATGTGTTGACCTGCTGCTCAAGCTCCTGCTAGTGGCTACTGTGAGTCTGTGACCTGTTGATGTAGCACTGCTGCATGTAAACCTGCACCAGAGGCAGAGCTGTCAGAGCAGTGTTCTTTTAAAATCTTAAATACTGGAGCCTTCCCTGTCTTAGCTTAGCAGAAATACTGGAAACGGGGGGAGCAGTTAGCCTGGTTCTGTCCAACCTAATGAGATCGGCCTACCAGCGCCTATAAAACTCACAGTTAAGATTATAACGTGTATAATTGCATACATAAAATGGTTTGAGTTCAGACAGCTCTGTTCATTGCCGAAAGGCTGGGGGTGTGCGTGTGTGTGTGTGTGTGTGTGTGTTAGTGAGAGTGAGTGATGCTAATTTAAGGGGGTTTACATCCTCCTTATGTAAAAGCAACGGGATTGTGGCAGACTAGGATGTCCCAGATGAGAGACCATCTCTTTCAGGGAATATTATACTTTTGTGACCCCTTACAAAGATGTTTTTCTTCCCCCCCACAAGCTGTTTTGTACTACAAAATCAGCTGATTCTCTGCCTAAAGTAGTTTCCCTCAGAAGTTAGGGCAGAGAATCAGCTGATTTTGTAGTACAATAATGAAGATGCTAATGTGTTAAATGTTCTAGCTGAAGCCAAAAAAAATGGAGACATTTGTCAGTACAATCTGGTTTAGCGTGATAAATCAGCTTGTCTTTGTTGGTCCAGCACTGTGTGGCCAACTTTTGTTTCCTCAGGGTCACACTATGACATGCCAGACCATAAAATGTAACTTAAAACTTCTTCCCTTCCTTGGTTTCACCTGAGGAAGGTGCTTGATCGAAGGTCAGGACAATCTGTGTTCTGTGTCTTTTGTAAGAATTGTTGGAAAAACTACAACACTGCTGGTGGTGGTGTTGAAGAAAGTCCCCTTTTGCCATTCGCAGATCCCAAGCAATCCCATTTGTTCTGCTCTGGTCCAGTGTGTGAAGGGGCCGACAGATAATTTTTAACTGTCTGTGGGTCGTTTCCTCCGGCCTCACGTCCACCTGTCCTCTGCCCGTTTACCACGTCCGAGGACTTCAGACTGCACAACAAGCTCCTACAGGAGAGATCAAGATGTTTTCGCCACTATGGTCTCACTCTTCACTCAGCAAATGTTAACAGTATACCTGGATGTCATTGTTTGCGATATAATAAAAGAAGAAAATCTGCATCTGTGTTGTCCTGCTTATTTGCTTGGAGTGCATTTGAAGTTGGGCCGTTAAAATTACGATTGACTGACTGTTGACAGACCCACCCAGAAGCTGTTATGTTATTGTTTTATTCCCCAGAACTTAATGGATCAAAGGATATTTCAATGCTCCATTTATCCCAAAGGTGGTACATTCAAAGCTTAAATTAAAATTATAATACTTTTGAACTCGTTTATCCTAAGCTCTGCTCAATTGAATGTGGTTTTTTCTTCTAAAAAACTAAGTAAAAAAAACTGTAATACTGTATACGTTAAGTTAGTCTGTTTTATATGAATCTTTTGATGATAACATTCAAATACACTACCACATTTTAAAACAGGCAGCTTTAAGTAGTGATTATAATGTTGGAAAATATTTTTTGTAATAGAAATATGTGACGGTTAGTCAACAACTCTGTTTATATGGGAACCGTTTTTTTTATGACGTAAACACGCATCTGCGTAGAGAGGTGACGTCGCAGACATCCAGGAAGAGAGTTGCAGAAAGTCCAAAGTGAACAACGTTTGGACAACGTGAGTTGTGTGTAGCTTTTTTCTGCTGAGATGTTTAGTCCAATAAAGTCATCGCTGGTCAGAGAGTATTAACAGGCTTGAATAAAACAAGGAGAACTCTAATAAAGGTAAGTAATACTGTCTACACATTAGCTTAAAATGTTAGCTTACTGCTCCAAACTAACGTTAAGACAGTTTAAAATGTAGCATCAGTGCAGCCATAATCAGTTGTAACGTTACCAACCGTAGTTAGTTTACCAGAAATGTTTCATGTCGATATAAAACGTTAGCTGTTTCAAAGGTAACTTCTCTACTCTTATCAGTATGCTCTTTGTTTTATTTTTGTTTCCCCCTTCTTCTCTAAGTCAGTGCTCTGATCATGGCCCTGAATAAGTCCATGCACCCTCGAAACCGTTACAAAGACAAACCACCTGACTTCGGTTACCTGGCATCCAAATATCCAGACTTCCAGCAGCACGTGCACACCAGCCTCACCGGAAGACCCGTGTAAGTACCCGAGACTGTATAGAGTGTTTAATGTTTATTCCTGCCCACTGAAGACCATTTTAAAAGTTATCTGCATCATCAATACAATGTTTGATTGGGAAGGTGGCTATGATCACACAGCATGATCTGAGCTGGGGGGGGGGTTGCATGGAATTGCGTTTTATTCCCATCTTTATAAGACCCTGAGAAGATTTCAGTGACTGACTTGCCCAATTCAGGTCATATCTTCACAACACTTCTCACATTAATTCAACTTTTTCATGTCTTTCAGCTAGAAAATCCATTCAGACCTTGAAATATTCTACATCTAGTGCAATTTGTGGTTTATTCAACTGTAAAATCATATTGATAGTATGTAGAGCCTTTCCCTTATTTCCCAGTTTTCATAGTCCTTCAGCTACTTCATGCAAATTTAAAGCCAGCAATGAAGTTTAGCGTCAGCTTTTCAACAATCCTTAAAATATTCATTTAATATTCTTTTTATCTTTCACACATTTGTGCTATTCAGCTTTTCAAGCCAGCAGTTCAGTTTAGCTCAAGCCCTTCAAAAAGACAGCATTCACACCGCAATTTCTTCAGATATTGCCCTTTCTAGAAATTCCTCTTTCACTATGCTTTTTGTTTTTCTTTAGTTTGTTGTGGAAGAACTTGAATGGGCTACACAAAGCACTGACTTCAAATCCATCCAACACTTTGGGGGATGAACTGTAACGCACACTGAGAGTAAGGCCATGTTCATCTCACGCCGCTGTTCTTCACACTTTTAAACAGCGTTCACCAGGACATGCAACTCATGATTATGAACTCTGGATGCACTGACCTGATACACAGAACTGGTATCAGTGCTAATTCTGACCTTTCAAGCCAATCGGGTATCAGCCATGACGTGATAGACCAAAAAAACACAACTGTAATAATGTTGGTCAATGTCCTTATCAAATTCAGTGTTTCCAAATATCAGATTCACTAGCTCAGTTCACTGAGGACCACCGAGTATTTAGCTCCACAGTAATCCCTGGCTTCACTCCAGTGAGCTCCGTGCACTGAGCCATGCAGATTTAAAATCTGGGGGAAAAAGAGAGAACTGATATCTTGAGTTGATAGTGGGGAAAGAAAAAAGTTTGATCGACACAACCCTAATTATTACGACTGAGAGATTTTACCTTTGGACATGGAATCGAGGCCCTGAGGGCACCGCTCGGGCCCCAGCTGACTCAGTCTGATCTTTACTGCTCACACAGCTTCTGGCAGCAGCAGCAGGAGGAAGATGAAACCTGAACAAATGATTAATGGACCCAACGTCAAAAGATTTTTTTTTTTTTTTTTTTCCACTCCATCCTGTTTGCTGTGGTCTCCTTTTTTTCCTCATTAGAGAGACTTCACAAAGTGTGCGTGAGTGACAGTTTAAAACAAACTCCTAATTTAAAAAATGGGTTAGTGTGTCAATCAAAAACAGTCCTGTAAGCTTCCAGTGTTTCACCTTGTTCTCAGAGCAGACACAAATTATGTGACTGAAACGTGCATGTGCGTGCCCTTCCCGGCGAGATGATGCTGAGAAATCATGATGTGAAAAAGTCCAGGTAGGAGAACAAAGGAAGAATGTATCTGGTGGGATTAGTGGGGTTGACATCGAACAGTGTGAGCTCATGATTGCTAGGTGTGTTGCTGGGAGAGGTGTGTTTGGGTACAGAATTTGTCCTGTGTACTCTCTCCCTGTCATGCACTTGTTTCCAGTTTGACACATGCATTGGCAGATAAATAGGAAACATCTAGGCGGATGTTTGTGTTTCCACTCAATAAGCGAACCATGTAGGTGGCAGTGGCGCAATGGGTAAGACTTTGCCTTTGGTGTGAGAGAAACTGTTTCAGTCCCCCCACTGTGACCCATCCACCATTGTATCCCTGAGCAAGATACTTAACCCCTAGTTGCTCCAGAGGCGTGCGACCTCTGACATGTATAGCAATTGTAAGTCGCTTTGGATAAAAGCGTCAGCTAAATGTAATGTAAATTGTAATGTAGGTGAGCTGGAGGAAGATATTTAAACCTGAGACAACAACAACCGGGATTGGGTGGATGGATAAATCAGAGATGCTTTTGATTTAGTTAATGTCATTAGACTTTATTGACATCTATCTTTGTCTGCTTTTTATTGTGATAGGCCTTTTTAGCAGTAGACGTTTTGACATTAAAGCAGGTAAAGCACATGTGTAACTAACAATTATTAATTAGCCATGGCTTCATTCCATCCAGGTGTGCCAGTTTCAGAGTCCTGCTGTTGTGCATGCTCACTAGCTCACAGAAACACCTTGTTAATGTTATTATTTAACACCTGTGCTTTACCTGCTAGACTACCGTAGTGACCTTTCAGACAAATGTGAAGTAAAGCTCCATTAGGTTATTGTAAAATTTGCTCTTAGCCTCTATATTGTTTTACTGAATTTTGCCTTGTCAAACTACTTTTAGCCTCCGCTGTCCAGGGCATTCTGCTGCACAAACACATATTTTCAATTTATGAACAGAATGAACATTTTGTTAACAAACTTTCAATACAGACATCAATTTGCTTGGTCAAATTCTTAATCTTTTTTTTTTTTTACTCATTCTTGGATATAGGGCTGCAAGTTGCAACGATTATTTCATTGTCGATTAATGTCAGAAAATGGTAAAAACAAAAAATGCCTTAGTCAGTGCCTGAGATGATGTCC